TAGTGACTTTAAACTGAAAGCAGGGAGATTCGGATACCAGGAAGAAATTCTTCCCACAGAGGGTGGTGAAGCACTGGGACAGGTTGCCCAGAGAAGCTGTGGATGCCCCATCCCTGGGAGTGTCCAAGGCCAGGCTGGATGAGGCTTGGAGCAACCTGGTCTAGTGGAAGGTGTCCCTGCCCATGGCAGGGGGTTGGAACTGGATGATGTTTAAGGTCCCTTCCGACCCAAAGCATTCTGTGATTCTGTCATTAACCTCTCCTGCCCATGTACCCAACTCAGAACCACTTCATCCTTCCCAGTGAGTAAACCAATTCCTCTCTCCTCAGTCCACAGGGATCCTACTTAAGCTTAGAGCCCCTGGAGAGCCAAGCGATCAAATAGATTAAGTAGCCTTAGGGGACCAGCTCACACTCACACATTGAAAGGTTTCTTGCACGGAGTGTGTGGCAGAGCCAGGAGGCAACAAGAGAGATATCAGCCCGTCCTCCAGGCCCCAGACCTCCTTGGCAGGGTCCTGGGAAGCTGCAGTGGGCCACTGCCTTCTTGTTGTGTCTGTAGTTTTCATGTACAGATTGGAAGGAGTGTAACCTCCCACCCTGGCAGATTTGGGTCAGCAAATGGGCATGATTAGGCACAACAGCTGCCTGCATTTCAGTCATGTGCTTGGGAAAGCCTGCAGGTAAAGGTGAGATAGACCACAGGACCCCCTGCACCCCAATCCTCAGCTTATCACTGCAGTTATATATATAAATATATATATACTGGATATAGGTGTTTACCTTGAAAACACTCATTTTACCTGGCCAGGTCTCCTGTGGACTAGTCATTTCAGAAGAAGCACACGGCTACTCTTGTGTTTGCAGGATCAGGGCCTTATTAAACCACTTGGCTTGATATGCATATAAAACATGCCTTGCAGGCCTGAAGAGTCTGGAACTGGATTATTTAGCCACGCCGACCAAAATTTCCGTGTGACTCATGAACAGCCAGATAAGTAGTGAGTAGACTGGCGGCTCAAAGAGCTGAGGAACCTCTGAACTGCAGGATTGTGGCTCTATTGGTGCTGAGCAGGAGATTTCAAAATAGAACACTTAAAGGTGTATATAGCGTGAGCTATGACATATGTTTATAGCTGGAGCTTAAGTTCTTGGTCAATATATATACTAACTTTAACAAGTAAAAAGAGCATGAAAAGACATAAACAGAAGGTGACAGGACAGAAAATAATGCGTGAGAGACTGCAGGATCCCCATAAAAGGAACTGATTAAATGTGCACAAATGGGAACTGTCCCTTGGAGGTCAGGCTGCTGGAATAAAGAAGGTAGAAGAAAACCAACATCCCAAACCTTTACAATTCCTGCATTTGTCCTATGGGAAAGCTTTAAACTTACCACTGCAGCTTAATGCTCTCTTCAGCTGTGTTTTGTCTTTTCAAAGCGGTGTCGGGCAAACCCTGTTACGCTTTCCCGTAGCACACGAACGCAGGAGACCCAGGTGGAACACAAGGCAGTGGGGTCCCTTCGCCTGCGCGCAGAGCTTTGTGGCACTGTGGCTGCTTATCGGAGCAGCTGTTTTTTTCACCTTTGCCCCTAGAGCTGATTGTATACACGGCTGCACTGTTGGCAGCTGACAGGACAGGCTTCCTAGGCTGCAAGAAAAGTACATTCTTGTGATACCATTCCAAAACGCCTTGCAGATGATGTGCAAAAAATCACCTGTCCACTAGGAGACTGCAGCGGATACACTGCAGAAATGAGGCCCCAGGCAAAGCCTATTTCACATCCTCCTGTCTCCTGCCACCTCAGGACATCCCCATTATTTGATTTTATTTACGCTGCAGTTTCTAGCAGTTGCTTGCAGAAGAGTGGCAGCTCCCAAGGCTTACCTTTAGAGGTGGGAGGGAGTCTGGCAAAAACAGAGGCTGTGTAGTAAAAGTAGGAATTTTATGGACAGTCTGGTCTAGTTTGGGGTGTGGGATCAGAAAAGTTTAAAAACGAACAACGCGTCCCTCTGGACTGTGCGCATCAAGGTCTTCCAATGGGCCATTTAAGTACTGTGCGAAGAGACAACAAAAGATCGTCCAGTAATAAAATCCACCCTGGTGCCTACTGTTGTCCAAGCGCAACCCTGCCACACTGTCATGGTTGACACAAAAATCCACCCTGTTCCTGCTAAAAAAAAAAAAAGACGTTACCATTAATGACTTCCGGCGCTATCAATTTATAGCAGAGGAAATGAGTAATAATTTCTTTGGTCAAAGCTGCAGAGAGATTAGTTCTGTAATGCACAAACATACCAGGTGGAACCATGCCAGGGCATATGGATTAACACCAACCAAATTCCCAACTCCAGTGGGATGATTAAAATAAATGTTTAGTTCTACAAATACAGGTACAAGGTAACAACATGCCCCCTCTGAAAGCAATACGCTGCCCCCAGACATCGGGGCAGCATCTCCCCTTTTTCTCTTCCCTGCTCAACCAGATTCTGGCTGGTTTAGAGAAGAAAAAAATAAGACTGGAGGTGAATTGCTCCTGTGCTGCCCCCAAAAGTGGGTTCTGATCAACACACTCTCTATGTATAAACCTCCTGTTTGCACTGCCACGGGGGAACAGGCTCCGCAGCTCTTCCTGAGCAGTGGGAAGGGGAGGTCATGCCACAGAGACTGAACAAGGGAGGCTGAATCTCCTGCAGTGCCTGAAAAAAATCTCTCCCAACACGACCATTTGTAAGACAGCGTTTCTTTATTGCCTGTACTCTGCACACTAAGAAAACACGCTTAAGGTTGCACATGAAAATACCCCACCACGGTGGTTCTGGCTGTTGCAATAGGAAGGTACTGATGAAGGTAACACACAGAGTGCCCCGTATTCGTGTGGCAGCTGTTATTTCACACCTTTGTCTTTCAGGTGCGCTGTACACAGCGTGGGAGGTGCATGTTCAGATCACAGCAGATTGGATACTGCTCTCTTCATTCTGCAGCAACTTCCCAAATCCTGCTGCTGCAGGTAAGTAAATGTTAGCATGACCCATGTGCACTGACAAAAGATGCCAGTTCTTAGCCAGCACCACTCCTTATTAACTGCAACTGGAGCGTGATGCTGAGGAGTCAATCACAGCAGCTCCCTCAACTCAGGCAGGGGGTTTGACCTATTCAACAGGTGATAATGTCTGTGCTCCTTCACAGCCACATCGACTAGAGAGCCAGAAAGCCATGTCCGTGTTCAGGTTACAGCTGCTTGCTGAAATCAGGAAATCAGAGAGGATTTCCCTTCCCAAACGTCGTTTCTTGCAAACACAAGCAGTTTCACTGGTGGCACTGCTGGTGTTGCTCCAGACTCCACACCAGCAGCCATGGTTCTTTCAGGACCTATGCTAACTTTGAGTCCCGGTCTCTGGAAGGTGTTGCTGCAGTTAGACACCGAGTGAACCACAGCCAGCCAGCAGTAAGGACTGAGCAGGAACGCACTGCTTTTAGCTATTCCTTTTAGTCAGGAATCCTACTCTTCCAGAGAAAAACTTCTTTCCTACCCAGAGTAAAGGGCACCATGGGAGGAACCACGGAAATTCTTTGTAACTGATGTGCTGTGGGTGACTCAGAGCACTTTTCCTGCATGGGATATTCCTAGAGAAATCTGTGCAATAAACAGACGTTCTGAGTAATCACCCTGTCCCAAGAGAGGAAAGACAGTGGGTAAATATAGGCCTTCCCTGTGCTGTAAGGTTGGTGAAACAGTTCACAGTTGCAGCATCACATCTTGCGCCTAAAACGTCAGTCACATGCAGAAACAGACTCGAAGGCGAACAGGGCGTTATAGAAAAAAGCTCACTTAGTCCCATAAGGCTTTAAAAGCAACTGAGCTACAAAGCAAAAAGTATCACACCCCAGAGAACACCCAGGGCTTTGTGCAGACGCACACTTTTGGGGCCAGTTCCAACCTCCCCCTGCTTTGCCTCACTCCTTGGCGACAGGGCTCCTTCCCAGCGGGAACAGCTTCAGCCCTGCTCTTTCTCAGGCAGCTGCCTCGTGCTTCCAGCTCGGGTATGTCTGAAAGCACTGCGGGCAAGCCAGCAGGGCGGGATCTTTCAGTACTGCACCTAAGTCCTAACTGCTGGAGAAAAGGATAAGGGAATGGGAGGGAACAGGTAGCATCCAGCCTTAAAACAGGCAACATATGGCCCGCCAGGATGTACAGCATAGGTCCTGCAACGGGTTGAATCAGCAGCACGTGTCAGCGCCTGCGAGTCCCAGGGCAACTGCTCTGTGTCCTGTAAACAGTGAGACGGGGCAGTGACAAGGTCCATTAGGGCAACAAAGCAAAGAAAGCCATCAGGATGACTCATTTTATCAGTTCATACTGTAGCCACATATGGAATCAGTCAACTAAAATATAGGCAAATCAAACCATACTTCACAGTAAATACGGGGCCTGATCCAGACCCTGCAGGGACTGATGGAGGTTCTCCCGCTGACTGCAACAGGCTTTCAGCTGGGCTCTGGTGATAGGGAAGCAAGAGGGGATGCTGCTTTTTGAGATGGATAGATCACTACCTACGGCTAGCCCAAATTTAAAATAATTTCTTTTCCTCTTACACTAAAATTCTATTTAATACAGCACCCACTGTGTCCTCCACTCTCTGCTGCCAGGCCACGTCTTTGCCAGAAAGAACAGGAACAAGACTTCATCCTTTTACTGCGAAGTGACCTCTCCACACAGAAGGCTCAGTTTGTGCTATTAGCCAAACCTAGCCGAATTCCTCCCAAGAAGCAGAGGCCTCCAGAGACCAGGGCTGCATGCAGAGTTGGGAAACGGAGCAGTGCAGATCATACGCACATTTTGGCCTGATTTAGTGGCTTCAAATTCCCAGGTGGGAAAAAGCTGCAGCTTCCCCAAGTCTCTGCAGAGCCGATGCCATCAGTTTTGGCTTACTCAAAAGGAACCCCAGCTTCATGAAACAGTGCTGGCACAGGCCTTTTGCTGACACCTTGATGTGCCTATGTGCAGCACCCTTTCCTCCTGATGACATCTTCCAGCTGCAGGGCTTTTTCCCTCTGCCTGTCTTCTTGGGCTGTCAGCAACCTGGAACAAGCAGTACAGACCAAGAACACACTCAGTTACTGAGATCTTCCTGCAAAGGCTTTTGGATCTGCCCTTTGGTCCCCCCCAGTCAGCCAGAGGCATTTAGAATTGTAGGAAGTGACTGGCCCAAAGACCAGGCTTCTCTGGAAGCTGGGCTAGATAGACCACCTACAGAAAATGGGAATTTCCAGCGGACAGGGAAAGAAACTGGGCGCATGAAAGAGGAGACGGCATGGCTTAGTGGTCAGAGCACCAGACTGGGTGTGAGTGGTCTGTGCCTTATTCCCAAGCTCCCGCACTGATGGCAGAAGCCCAGGCTGTTTGCTTCACCTGCCTGGGTGCTCCGGCAGCAGCATGATCATAAAGTATGCTGAAGGCTGTGGGAGATGTGATTGACTTAGCTACCAAGTAGATCATCCCAGTGAATGAACAGCTGAGTCCTGCTGTGAATTTGACAGAGATGATGCAGCAGGAGGTGAAGGGATTAAAGACACCCCCAAAACCAGGTATCTTGCAATATTTTAAAACTTTTTCTGTAACTACTTGCTTTTTTAAAACTAAAAGTCTTAGTAAGGCTGAAAAAAGTTTGCTCTAAGTGTTTTATCTCCTTTTAAAAATACTGTCACCTAAATATCACATTCTATCTTTAATAAGATAAGGAAGAAAAAACCCTTAGAGATGCATGCAGACTTCAAACTGAAAATGCCAACTTCAAATCTGGCATAGCACACAAAGCTTTTGTGATTAAATACTCAAAACTCCCAATCTTTCAACAGGCAGCTCTGCCAGATGAAGTTTTGCATGCGATAACATCCGGCCCACGCTTGGTGCTTCCCAGGCACAGAGGACAGGACCTGGCGTCGGGGAAAAGCACACTGCTGCAGCTCTCTGTGTGCCATGGCAGAAAGTCAGGCTCTGACAACCCCTCTTCTTGCCCGTTCCCCAGGAGAGCCCACACCCATCACCTACGGCTGTGGAGATATCCCAGGGTGACTGTTCCTGCTCACTGACCTGGCCATGTGCAGCATGGGCTCCATGATGTTATAGCCAGTCATCGCGCTGCACTCATAGAAGACAGCCTTGTATTCCTGCCACAGAACACAGCAAGCACCCAGGCTGGCGTCCAGCTCTCGCCCACCGTGCACCCACCCCCCGCTGGGAACTCTGCCGAGAGCAGTTGGGGCCAGGAGGGTGCACACACCCTGCTCACCAACCCAGGAAAAGGAGATCCTCCTCAGCACTGGGACCCCAGCACCAGAGTGTCCAAAAGGGAACACCAGGGGAGTTATTTGGAAAGAGAAAACATCTGTCCAGGGTACTTGGATTCTCTTTCCTTTGTGCTGCAGAGTCCAGATGACAGTTAACAGCTCTGAAACCCTGCCACCCCCACCCCCGGGGATGCTGATGCAGGGAGTACTCAATTAGGGGTGTCCTCAAATGGGAAACCAGCCATGCACACTCCCCTCGGCATCACCCTAAGGAGGCATCGAGCCTCAAGAGAAATACATGAGCACGCCTCACGGGCCGTTGTCTGCTGCATGCTGGCCACCACCTCGTCCTCCCCAGTACCAGAGGGACCTCGGTACATGCTTGCACTGGAGAAATGGGGCAGGCAGTGGGGGGAAAGGGAAGGTACCACACTGGGAAACGGCTCCAAGAAGGGCTTCCTGCCTGCCAGGCTGCAGGAGGGAGGCTGCAGAGCAGGTTGAGCAGCAGTGCATAAAGTCATACCTTCGCCAGCCTTTCCCCCTCCACCCTGGGCACATTCCGTATCTGTCTCTGCGCAGCATCCATTTTATTTCCAAGCAGAAAGACCACAGCTCCATCCTCTATGCCTTCCTGCAAAAGAAACAGAGCACCCTAGAGACTCGGCTGAGGGAAGGAAATATCTTGGAGCAGATCCTGTTCTAGCTGACGCAAACAAGACCTTCAGTGGCAGCAGTATCAGGCCCTTTAGCTCATTAAAGGGCTATTCCTCAAACAAAATTCCAGGGATTTGTGGAAGGAAGCTTAAACTACGGGAATGTATTTCAGATGTTTGGTATATAGAGCTAGGATACTGAGAGAGGGGAGACAGTTCCTCTCTGGGAAATAACCAGCCTAAAGAAAAGCAGTTTGCCCCACATGCTGCTCAGAATTTAAGTTCAGGCAGAGCTTCTTTCAAGTTTGGTCTCTTTTGTGCATGTGTTTGTCTGATGTGCTGTCCTAAACTCAACCACCCCTTGCTGAAAGTCCAAGGGCTGAGCAAGCTAAGCAGCATTCAACTCTTGTGTAGGGTCTCCGTCAGAACTGTTATTCCTAGGTGACTCCTGCTGCTCATTGCCTTTGGTAACTCCCTGTAGATCCACTGGCTCAACTAGGACATCACCAGAGTAAGGACTGCTGAAAGGGGTGCCAAGTTATTTCCAAACCTGACTGCCATGGATGAATTACAGTACCTGAACAGCTTCAAAGCAAGATATATATGAAGATGGGGAAAGGAAGAGAAGAGCTATTATTAAAAGTTACAGATTTTGGGTGCTTTGATTTTCTGTGTGCTCAGTTTAACCTTCCTGAAAGGAGCCAGATTTTCAGAGGCTGGTTCTTTTTGAAAATCTTAACCTTTGATCTTTTAGAGTCCAAAGAAATAGTTACGTGTTTGGGGTTTTTTTTACCTCCCCAACAGGCCTGTGAAAGTTTCTAATGTTATTAACCTCCAACCTACAATTATTCATTTCACTTACATGTTGGTTTTTGAGACTCAGCACAATCAAAACAAAACCACCCTTGACAATTTCCCTTCGGTTCTGAGTCATTTACACACAACCTGTTTAATTATACAGACAGGTATTTTTGTCTCCACGAGAAGGTACAAGCCACAGATGAGTGCTTTTATTGAGAGACTGGAAATAAAAGGCAGGGGCGCACACTGCAGTATTAAAACACAGTCATCAAATAGAAAAGTAAAAATAGAAATCAGCTGTTGAAGCAAATGAGGAAGAAAAATAAGTTATTACTAATATCTCAGCCTCATCCAGAAATCTCAAAGCAGTGTCAGGATGTGCTCGTGCGAAACACTGTTCTTGTAGGCTGCAGGTCTGAGCTTAAACACACCGTGCCCTTCCCTGTTCACAGCCTGGACACCACATCTCCTTGCCTGAGCACACGTGTGATGTGACCACATTTAGGAGATGTGGCCGATGCACGTGGGCTGCTTACAAACACAGGCTGCTGTGTTGGCAGGTCCCACCACCTTCTGCCACAGAAACAGCTCTCCCTCATTGAAGATGCCAAAGCCCGTTCAATAAGAAGCCCATGGTCCCCAGTTGACTACCACAGGCAGCACCCAGAGCGTCTGCTTTGATAACCCAGGTTCTCCTGCGGCATCGGAGAACACTGCTCCCAGACAAGACTGTTGGAGCTGGTCTGGAGTGAGGCAGCAGCAGCAATCGAGAACCAAGCCACCCCGCTCTCACCTGGACACTGCTCATCCAGTTCCGTACCGCCATGAAGGAGCACTCGGCTGTAACGTCGTACATCACCAGAATCCCATCCGCCTTCCGGAAATACTGCTTGGTAATGCTCCGGAACCTGGGCCCAAATGAAACCAAAGGCACTCTCAGAACCATGGCTGCGTAATGCCAACAAACACAATGGGATTATCTGTCTTGTAGTGCAGGCTCTCTGCAAGGCCTGGCAGCCCGTGTGCGAGATGGGGCTGGTGCGTACAGGCTGGAGAACCACAGGTCAGACCCTCGCACCTTTGAGGGAAGCCGGGCAGCCATGGGTAAGCAGGAATCTTTCCACATGCACGGAGCTGAGAAAGCAGGAAGGAAGACCTTTGCAGGTCAGGATGAAGGAAATAGAAAAATCTGTTTAGCTGGGATAGGAAAAGGTAATTGCTTATAAAAAGGGAAGTGGATGGAAAAAACAAGACCTTTCTCCAGAGTCTGGAAGAATCTGCAGACTAAGCTGTACCACTGCATAAGCCAGGCGTGCATAATGTCTGCCCCAGTGCTGCCAAAACAGCAATTAAGATCTCAGCATCAGTACCCTCTGTTTCCAGTTTTGAGTCTATCAAGCAATGCCATCGTATATAAAATCAGCAGTTAGACACAATTTTCAGGAGAAACTCCCACCGGACACCTACTTTTTCCTGTGGATACCGGTTAGAACCACAGACTTGTATTTTGGGAATACATTTAAAAAAACCCAAACCAAAAACAACCACCAAACCTTAAAACCTGTAAAAAGTTTGTGACGCGGCCATGATACAACCACACTGATTGCACACTGATGGAATTAAAGGCAACACAAGTACCTAGATCTCACTGGAGAGCTGTGTATTTCAGCCCCACACAGGGTAAACTCTCCAAGAAAACCTACAGCGAGTAGTGACCCTCCTGAACCCTTCAGCTGATTGCCTGAAGCCTGTTCTTCCTCCCTGCAGTAAGGGATGACATTCTGGCAATTACCCAACAGAGACAGCTCAGACTGTATCTTTGGCAGTCCAGGTACACCTTTGGAGCTACAGGAACAGGCTAGATGCTCCAGGAGAAACATCAAGTGCAGCATGCACTGGTCTTGGGGAAGTCACCAAGGAGTTCTTGCACACTCCAAAGGGATTCCTCTCTCTCTTCCATAGGATATTCACAGCTGGACACCTTCAGTTAGATGTAATTAACACATCTCTACAAGAAAAGCTTTTGCTTCTTCACAGGTCTCCTATTCCATATCAGCATTGAGCCAGGTTCTCTTTGGCAAGTACACATCCAAGACCCGCTAACGCTGCCGGGACCTACTCCAAAGGGCCTTCTGCCGACACAACATCGCCAATTTGGCCTCTGATACAACCTGGCTTCAGTAAAATGTCACATTTCATGTCCTAACAACTCCCCTTACTGCTTAGCTTCAGCACTGAAATAACCACAGGAGGCCCCTCGAAAATATCTTCAGCATGAAGCTTGATTTTTGAAGAAATAGTTTGGTTTTGAACAGATGCCCCTACTTAGCACGTTCCTGCCTGGTCTGCATGGTCTAGCTGACTGAGGTAGACAGCATCATTACTCTGCTGGCACAGCTCAGGATTATAACATTCCCATGAACTCAGCTGCCCCACAACATACTTAGCCCAAAATACCCAGTAGTTATTTTTGCCAGGCTCTTGAGGTTAACGGTCCTGCTGATATTTTGTCTTCTGCTTCAAAGTGCATCATAAAGTCTAATTTACAGTAGTGGTGGGCCTAGATCTCTAGTAGCAGATGAGGGTCAAGAGTTACCTCTACTCTTCTGATCCTCCACCAACGGTGCCAACACCTAGTGGTGGACCAGGCTTTTGAAACTAGAAGCTTTCAAACGGGGAACACGTCACAAAAAGCTACACTGCCCCTCTACCAAAGATTGTCACTTCCATGAGTCTGTCAGCAGAAGCGTCATTGGAAGGGGCAATAACGCCACCGCGAGAGCTCAGCAGGGCAGTTCAAGTCACCTTCCCTACAAGTCAAGCCAATTTAGCTGGCTTTGAATTGGATGGGGAAGGGTTCACCCACTCTCTGAACAGCAAGTGGTGATGAGCAGCCACGGACAGCTGCAGCCCAGATGAATCCAAGAACAAGTCTATCTAGAGCCTTCATTTCTACCCTAATCTTCAGATTTTCCCAGAGGCAGGCTGCTGCAGGAGAGCTTTGCGGGCTAGAGGAGTTTCAAACCCCACAACATACAGTGATTTATGGACAGACTGCCTGAAGCCACAAGCATGCAGGTCAGGTGTATGGAAAACTACTTTTCCGTCAGTCCTCAGAGCGACCCTCCCGGGCTCACACCTTTGCAGCCACAACTTCTAGAAATCTCCAAAAGAGGCTTTAGCTGCAGGTTCAGCACTGGACTAGCTGCTGCGATCTTTCTGGTCCTTCGGAAGCTAACAGTTTTTCCCAGAGACAGAAACTGGGTGCACAC